ACGTACACCAGTTTGGACGGGCACTATAGTGGCCGTCCAAAGTCCCAAGACCATTAAACACTCCTGACTCTTGGGACACAAGTACCGAGTGCTTTATATGAAGAAAAGGTGTTGGCTAAGCTCGTCAATACTTGAGCCTCCAAGGGCTCTCAGCCTCGTGTCTCTACACCGGGGAATTGTTCCATGGTTCAGATACCGGTGATGTCTCGTGTACTCACCAGTTACCGGTAAATTCAAAAGTTTTTTCAGAACACAAAGCACAGATAGATATTATGGTTTGTCTTTTATAAACGTCTTAAACGATTTCGCGCCGACACCAACATCTTGATGGGCTGACTGCTTCTGGTGCCGTTCACAGCCTCATCACCTTGGTGGAACACCCTAAGGAACACGCTGAGGAACACGCTGTGGAACACCCCTGTGGAACACCCTGTGGAACACGGACACACATCTCCATGTGTTTGTGTGGGTGGCCCAGGGCGTGTGGGTGGCCCACGACCACTGTGGGTAGGGTGAGGGACCACTGTGGGAAGGGAGAAGCAGCAGCAGCAGGTACGCAGGATAATATGCAGTATTATCCTCGTCGTCGTGGCCGTCAACACATACACCCAGCGGAGGAGACCGGGCCGAGGCCCCGTGACACACGACGACGACGGAATCACCCGCTTGAAGGAATCCCAACCGCTCTCAAAGTTAGTGAAGTATTGATCGTTTCCTCGTGTTGCTGATGTCTTGTGTGAAGTGATTCTCGCCGCGTGTGTGCCTCGCCGCCACCACCCTGGGGGCATGTTGGGCCTCGCCGCCACCACCCTGGGGGGCATGCTGGGCCTCGCCGCCACCACCCTGGGGGGCATGTTGGGCCTCGCCGCCACCACCCTGGGGGCATGTTGGGCCTCGCCGCCACCACCCTGGGGGGCATGCTGGGCCTCGCCGCCACCACCCTGGGGGGCATGTTGGGCCTCGCCGCCACCACCCGGGGGGCATGTTGGGCCTCGCCGCCACCACCCGGGGGGCATGTTGGGCCTCGCGCCTCCTCCCGACACCAGTTTAACGCTGGTGGCCTGAGAGGCGACGAGTGCCACCAGTACCAGTACTCCAGTGTCTGGCACTGGAGTACTGGCTTTGCAACATATTACAGATACAGTGACAACTTTTGGTTGTCTGATATAGTGACAACTTTTGTGACTGGTAGTGTATCCTGAGACTGGTATACCTTATGACTGGTAGAGTGTACCACGAGGCTGGTATACCTTATGACTGGTAGAGTGTACCACGAGGCATGTATACCTTATGACTGGTAGAGTGTACCACGAGGCTGGTATACCTTATGACTGGTAGAGTGTACCCTGAGACTGGTATACCTTATGACTGGTAGAGTGTACCCTGAGGCTGGTATACCTTATGACTGGTAGAGTGTACCCTGAGACTGGTATACCTTATGACTGGTAGAGTGTACACCCTAACAGTTCCTGGTGAGAGGACAGGAGCCCGTCGACCAGGACCATCTTCCCGGTGTTAATAGTGGACGTTCAGACCATGGTTTACAACCCCCCTCAACCACCCTCCTGGTCTACGGCTGACAAGAACCAATAACACGAGTGGCTCTGTATTATTGTTCTGGTGATCGCAATAACACCAGAACAAATACAATGTTTACAGCAAGTTTCCATTCATTGTAATAATAAATTGTTTACTATAGTTCATGGTTTAAGACTAGAGTCCGTCAATGGAAGTCTCTGCGCTAGTCTAGTAGTAGTAGTAGTAGTAGTAGGCATCAATCAGTCGTAAGAGACTATAGAGTTGCACTCTGGTTATCGGTCTGGAGTAGCCTCTCCAGGGCACAAAGCCTGGGTAGGTTGATACGGGGTAGAAGCTGTTACCCATGCAGCAGGTACACCTTCTCCACGGCCGCCGAAAGTCTCCAGCTCATAATAAACTCATAATAGTCCACACTCATAATAAACACACGCGCAAGGCTCCAGTTAATACCGCTCCTAAAAAACAAAACAAATGAAGAAGCAAAGAGCTGCACGGCTGCAGGAATTAGCAGCACTCTGAGCCAAGAGTTGATGATCTATGCTCAGAAAGTGTGGATGTTCTCGGCTAATGTTTTGCCCAGACTTTCCCAACGACTCTCACCACATCTATGTACTCCTAATTTACCATAAAAAATAATTTAATATTCGCAATACAAAAAAAATTGAGTAGAAAATTATAAAAAGGTAAAAACAATAAATTACGTCCCGAACGTTCACCTTCTCAACAAGTCCGTTCTTCAGGACCAAACTACCGAACAAGGCGAGAACAAAGTGACGGCCAGACAAGCGTTTACTCAGCACCAGAACAACAATTTCCTCACTTTTATCAGCCGAATAAACGCCACTATCCGGAGGGCGGTGAAGCAACAAGCTGGTGAAACACATATTGGCACGTCACCAATTCAGAAACGTTGACCATGTGTGGCTAATGACAACAATGGTCAATGTATACTAGCATCTACATATCCTACATATCGCTCTTCTGTACATAACAGTGCAGAAGAACTCCATTTCTTGCTTGCAAATCCAATAATAATATTAGCAATTATAATTATATTAATATACCAAATATAACACCACAACACGTGTTGTCTACAGGACGAGCACACCACCACAACATTACAAGTCTCTCTCCCCAGTATATTCCCAGACGAGAGAGACGCTACAAGTAACTACAGGAGTGGCATCTATATAGTAGATATATAAAAACACGCGCGTATTTGAATAGAACGTTGTGTCAAAATTTCAAAGAAATCGGTTTCGATTTCGAAGATTTCCCTCTCGTGAAACACACATGAAAACACAGTTTTTCAAAAAAAGCATGTTGTTTTACCCTTTTTTTTACCGTCACAGACGTGACATCTATATAGTATGTATATAAAAACCTGCTCGGATGCGAATGGAACATTGTGTGAAAATTTCAAAGCAATCGGTGAAGAACTTTCGGAGATTAGCGATTACGGACAAACGAACATTTCCATTCTTACTTATACAGAATAAATAGAATCGATAATTGCAAATACTATTCGTCTTCATCTTGAAAAAAACATAAATTAATAAATGATTCACAAAATGGGTTTATAAACTGTCGGCCATGTTTAACAAACTTGCTATCATTTTTTTCCAGCATAGTTGAGGCAGATGATAGTGATAAGGTTTGTGTTGTTGTGGTCCTTGACGTTAGCAAAGTTGTTGATACAGTGCCACATGAAAGACTGATTAAAAATTTTGAGGCTCACGGTTTTGGGGGTGCTATATTAATTTGGGTTAGAGCATGGCTATACGAACGGAAATTGTATTATTACTATTTAGTTAGTATAAATGGGGTTAAGTCAGAGTGGGAAAATGTTATAAGTGGAGTGCCTCGAGGCTCTGTCCTGGGACCTGTATTATTCATAATATATATAAATGATTTAGATTCAGGTTTGAGCTGCAATATTTGCAAATTTGCCGACGATGCAAAAATCGGTAGGGAAATAAACACGGAAAAAGACTCACTGTCGCTTCAAGTCGATCTAAATAGGGTTTTGAAATGGTTAAAAAGATTGGCAGATGCAATTTAATGCTGATAAATGTAAAGTTTTGAGGCTAGGTAATGATGATAGAGTTACAAGATACGAGCTAAATGATGTTGAGATTCAAAAGGGATCTGGGAGTTATGATTAGTAAGAATTTAAAAGCAAAAAATCACTGTATAAAGCTTCGTAACAAGGCAAATAGGACACTGGGATTTATTAATCGAAGCGTTATCTTGCTCTGGTTAGGTCCCATTTAGATTACGCAGTTCAGTTTTGGTCGCCATACTATAGAATGGATATAAATTCACTAGAACGCGTCAAGCGTAGGGTGACAGTTATTCCCCCAAATCAGAAACCTATCATATGAAGATTAACAAAGCTTAAATTACATTCTCAGGAAAGGCAAAGAATTAGGAGTGACATGATAGAAGTGTACAAGTGGATGAATAGCCATAACAAAGAGGATATTAATAGGGTAATAAAAGTATCAACACAAGAACACGAAACAATGGGTATAAATTAGATAAGTTTAGATTTTGGAAAGACCTGGGTAAATACTGGTTCGATAACAGGGTTGTTGATTTATGGAACCAATTACCGTGTAACGTGGCGGAGGTGGGGTTCTTCGTTTGTTTCAAGCGTGGGTTGGACATGTATATGAATGGGATTGGGTGGTTATAAATAGGAGGTACTTCGAATGGGCCAATATGCCTTCTTCAGTTACCTTTATTCTCATGTTCTTTTTATGTTCTTATGTTCAAATAGAATTGGAAAGTATAACACTCTTGAACAGTAATAGAGACATTACCTTAAACTGCTTTCACCTCGCCTAATACTTTCACCCCAACCTTATACTTTGACCGTACCTATTCAGGCAAACATATACTTTAGTGTGTGGTAAATATTACAGAACTTACACTTCTACCGAAAACTCTAGATAAGAATATTTATCTATACGATTATGCAAATGTGTTACACACACACACACAAAAAAAAAAAATCATGTAACCCGTATCCCGTTTTAGAGCAATATTCTAATGAAGGGTTTGGGTTATCGGGGAGGGCGGGGGGTATAGTGTTCGTGAAGAGGGGGGGTGGTGGGGTGGGGGCAGGACTGGTGGGTGGTAAGGTGGTATATCACGCCATGAGGAGGGGAGGGAGGGGGGGGGGGAGAGAGCATGGGGTGGTGGGAGGGGGGGGGGAGAAGACATTCACGGTAGGTGGTATTGAACCAACTATGAGAACAGCTTCGTGCTTCAAGTGGCAGTTAACCATTCATGGTCTGAGTCTCCTCCAGTAACGATAGTTTCCTTTCCCAGACTACGGCAGTGCTGGCTCGTTACCTGCCCGCCACGGCAAGAGCCTGCCGTGGAGCAGGGCACGACGCAGGCAGGTCGTGCCCTGTCGTGGTGGGTTGTAATCAACGGTTGCGGTGAGGACTTACCTTTTAAGTGTAGTGCAGAGAGCTGGGGGTTGAAGTAGCCTGGTGGAGGGGTGGGGGTTGGGGGCGCGTGTGGGGGGGAGGGGGGCGCGCGACACGACGCACACTAGGGGGGGAGGGGGGCGTGTCTACAGCGACAGGAGGGGCGCGACGCGACACACTACCACACGACACGTCTCGACGGCCACCAGCCACACACTGCCCGTCTCTCTCAGTGAAGCAAGTCAACAGGTCGGGCCGCCCCTACCGCGCAAGCACACGCGCCGCCCACCACCCACGTTGGTGCCACCCACGCACACAACACCCCACCCACAACCAGAACCCCCCCCCCAACCACCACAACCCCACCCCCAACCCTCCGTCTTCCACCACCATGGCCACCACACATGCCTCTGACGCCCACACTCTCGACAACCATGTTTTAAGCTCCCACGTCACCATACATGGCCCCTCACCACCACACACACCACCACACATAGACCTTCACCACACAGGGACCTTCACCACACAGGGACCATGTTATGGCCACTATGGGTCGCAACTGGGTTCTTGATCTATGACCCAAAGTACTAGTATCCGACCCAAAGTCATTAGTGGCTATCAAGGAGTAGGCTAGGTAATGCAAGCAATAAAATGGAGGGACCTGAAATGAAAACAACACTTCACCCTTTAGCACTATATTCACTTAACTTATTATCACTTTCCTATCACCTTAAATAGAAAATATATAATGAAAGAATATTACTACACGTGATATTTACATGTCTCGCTCTCACATAAGACACTAAGTGCTCCTCGATGCTAACGCGATGCAACCTTTGTCATGTCGTGTTTCCTCAACACACAGTACCGTCCTCAACCAGTACTGGGAAACACTAACCGAGTCTACCCCTTGCCATGAGCCAGCCTATCTACAGTATCACTAGATGCCTCTTGTGAATACCCACAATCACTCTCCAGCCAAGTGCCCAACCACTTTGGGTGGACGATACAGCGACGGTCTCGCTTTATGCGGGTCGGCGTTCAATTCCCGACCGTGCAAGTAGTTGGGCACCATTCCTTTCTCCCGTCCCATCACAAATCCTTATCCTGACCCCTTGCCAGTGCTATATAGTCATAATGGCTTGGTGCTTTCTCCCTGACAGTTCCCTTCCCTTCCCTTCTCCAGCCAAGTGCTGGCAGAGAACTTTAGCCTCGCGCTGATGGGGACACTACACGGACAAATACAGGGGTAGCTAACCCCTGGCAGGAGCCTCTAGCGGTGGGCTAGTAACGCTCCTCAATAGCACCTCACTGTCGGTCGTCTCTCCCTCTAGCCAGTCCCGGGATACACCGAATTCTTCCACTGCTACTCCACAGGCAGAAAGCAGATAAGCACACAGTTCCTCTTCGGCGGCGGCTCACTTAGTCGACAAGCAGAATTAAGTAGGGAGAGATTAGGCTTGCCCAGGGTAGACTCCTTGTCTCCGTTCCACTGCAGCCCTACGTCGCCTCTGTGGATACAGACACGTCATCAGTAAACTGGCCGGTGCTGGTGAAACTAGGAAATACCACTTACTGACTCTGGCATTGACATTCAGCTCATATCACAACAGATGGCGCTGATCTCTAGTCGCCACCTCACCAGAGGTCATCCACAGCGACTCCTCTGGCTGACTAAGACAGGAATCTTGCGCAGGTATTAGACAGCCACCACCAGATGGCACTGTTCACCTTACGCCCGATACTGTGGGGGTTAGGGAGCAGACTCACAGATGGCGCTGAAGTCGCTACTCCATAATCCGACGATGTAGTCGGGTTCGTAACACACCACCTCACATGGACCTCAACCACACACACCACCTCACATGGACCTTAACCACACACATCACAACACATGGACCTTAACCACACACACCACCACACATATACCTTCACCACACACACCACCACACATGGACCTTCACCACACCACCATATATAACCCTCATTATACTCCAATGACTAAAATCTCTCCATTTTACGTCAGGTGCTCCTCAGATGGTAATCACTAACTTTCCACTATCGCAGACTTCACCAACTTGACGCCAACATCACACAAGTTGCAGCCTCAAGTTCATCGAAGTGTTCATTGAGCTGAAACGCTTTGGTTCTGACCCTGAAGCTTACTGAATGGCTGGTAGAGACAGTCAAGTAATTGCTCAAATTACGGCTAATACTTGGTGCTGTGATCAGAGTCGGACTCAGGAGCTAAGGTCAATTATAACACAGAGGTGTGAAGTGTGTTGCGGTGAGGAGTGTGTTGTAGTGAGGAGGTGGTCGACCAGTGTCAGCAGGAGCCCCGACCAGGTGGTCGACCAGCCTCAGCAGGAGCCCCGACCAGGTGGTCGACCAGCCTCAGCAGGAGCCCCGACCAGGTGGTCGACCAGCCCTCCTGATGCGTTCTTCAGACCAACATTAATGCGATTTTTTTTTTTACTTTCTCCTCTGGCGTTTTTTTCAGTCTAGCGCGAGGAAGCTCTCCTGCGGGGGGTTGGGACAGGGCCGGTGTGTGAATGATCCAGGAAAATTATGGCGTTTTAATTAGGGTAACAGCTGACGCTAAGTGTCTGCGTGGAGCACACACACGCTCTGGTTGTGAGCGTGGCCTGGTTGTGTGTGTGTGTGGCCTGGTTGTGAGCGAGGCCTGGTTGTGTGTGGGTGGCCCGGTTGTGTGTGTGTGGCCTGGTTGTGTGTGTGTGGCCTGGTTGTGTGTTTGTTGCCGGGTGTTACGGAACCATCACCTTCGTTAGTGTGTAGTTGCAATTCCAGCGCCATCTATGGGTCTGCTCCCCAACCCCCCCTGATATCAGACGTTACGTGGACAACGCCCTCTATTGGTAATGGCGTGACAGCTGCCAATGGCTCTGGTTTCCTGCCTCGGTCAGACAGAGAGGTCGTTGTGGATGACCTCTGGTGGTGGGTTCCCTGATTCATTTTTATGTGCTATCAAAGTTGTTACAGTGGGTGTCGGAGTGGGTGTAGGAGATCTACGAGACTCAAGTGAACACTTCCTCACCTTTAGCCCGTTATCATATTCTCTTACTAACACCTCACTCCCCTCACCATCCTCCCCCTCGCCCCTCTCTGCAACCTTCACCTTTCTCCCCTCACCTTCCTCTTATTGCCCCTCACTTTCCTCCCCTCGGCCCCCCCCCCGTCCCATCCCAAATCCTTATCCTGAGCTCTTCCCAGTGCTATATATTATAATGTCTTGGCGCTTTCCCTGATAATTCCCTCCTCTCCTAGTCTGACTGGCATCTGGAAGTGGTTGGCCCAACAGGTTGACACTCGGGAGATCAGGTCAACTGACCACGTGAAGACTCTGGCACACAGTTGGCTACAGACTCATCCTCTTCCTTATATGATTGTTACCTAATGTTGTTAATGAATAAAAGGCTATTCCTACTGACGCATATAACAGGCTCATGTTATAATTGGGCCTCTAGGAGTAGGCTTCATCTTGGCTGAGGAAGGATTACAGCTCTTGCTTGCAGTTTATCCAGGTTCCTTATATGATAGTTCCTCTATGATAGTTCCTCTATGATAGTTCCCAATGGGATAGTTTCAGAGTACATTCCTATGAAATAATGAGTTTCTAGGAGTAGGCTTCAGATGATCTGAGGTAGGATAACAACTCTTGCTTGCAGCTTCACTGGGTACGTCATTTGACAGCCCTTATGAACCCTAGACATAGTTTAAAAAACAAAAAACAAACAGAGAGAGAGAGAGAGAGAGATGAGAACGAGGGGCTGCATATAATATGAGATGATAAACATATATTTATCTGTAGTTAAGGTATCTTTGTGGAGCAGAGGACAGTGGTGGCCTTAAAGTTGTGTTGGTGTTTGTTAAGCGTGTGGTAATTCTCGGTGGATCAGGGAGCCTCTCACTCACAGGTGGGGGGGGGGGTTTAAGGGAGTCGGCTGTAGCCTGTAATTGGCGGTGACTGATGAAGATTGCCTGAGCCAGCCGCCACGGGCTTGTACGTCCTGATGACAGTAGTTATGCTCAAGGGGACGTTAATAATTCCCCAAACCAATTTACCAAATTTAAACCATCGTGTCTCTATATAGATGCATGTGTCTACATCATCCCTCCCCCCCCCCTCTCTCTCTCTCTCTCTCTCTCTCTCTCTCTCTCTCTCTCTCTCTCTCTCTCTCTGTGCACGCGACACACACACACACACACCTGTACCAGCACCCAGTTCTTGATTTTTTCAGGAACCTGTACACCAGTTGATTGACGGTTGAGAGGCGGGACCAAAGACCTAGAGCTCAACCCCCGCAAGCACAATTAGGTGAGTACACACACACACAGTTGAATAAGGAGGCTTCTAGATCACTGAAGACTGCCTATGTGAGGCCAGTCTTAGAGTACGCCGCCCCATCGTGGAGCCCCATCTAAAAAGCCCATAAAGAAGCTCGAAATGATGCACAAGTTTGTAACGAGACTGGCCCCAGAGCGGCGAGGGATGAGGTACGAAGACAGCACTAAGCTTGACCACGTTACACAAGGACTCGAGCTTCCATCAGTAGATGGAACCTTGAGACTCAGATGTGTCATAGAGATTTTTGAAAGTTTTCTTTTAGCGTTAGTGTAGTGAGTAAATAGAATGACCAAAAAGGAGCAGGTTGTAGAGGGAAAGTCAATTCATAACTTTAAAAGCAGGTATGAGAGGGAAATAGGCAAGGAGCATACGTGCATGGGGTTCTGGGAGTTCTTCTACTCCCCGAGCCCGGCCTGGGACCAGGCTCGATTTGTGATAACTTAGTCCAACTGGCTGTTGCTTGGACCCGCAGGCCCACATATTCACTACTGCCTGATTAGTTCAGCACTTCTTGCAAGAACCTATCCAAGTGCCTCTTAAATACATCCACCTAAGTTTTGGCAATATTTCTAAAGCTTGCTTGGAGGGTGTTGAACAGCCGTGGACCTCTGATGTTCAGACAGTGCTCTCTGATTGTACCTATGGTTCCTTTACTCCTCAATGGTCCTATTCGGCATTTACGTCACAGGATCCGCTAGCCGCCCGAGGCTGCTTGAAGCGCCCTGTGTGAGGATTCGGGTCAGG